CGCTTTTTTTCTTCTACATTCATGAGTGGTGCTCGCACGTGGCAGCCTTCCCCAATTTTCTGTGATAGATGTTGGTGCAGCTATTAAATGACCATATCGTCCTTCAAATGTTATAGTTTTGAGGACACTATTATAATTTACTCTATGATGTGGTGACCACTTTTCCACTATTTCAGCACACGCCACCGACTAAAGGCTGAAAGAGCTTGGAGAACACGATTGCGGATTGTCCAATTCTTCTCGATTTTTTCAAAAAATGACTGAAAAGCGACGGCTGCAATCACTCGAGACATCGACTTGCGAAAAGAAAAAAAGAAAGCAGGGATCCAATTTTAAATCCATACGGAGATCTTCTCTATCATTTACGCCAGAAGACCCAATCCTCTTGCATATTTTCCCTCACCATCGCCAAAAAACACCTCTACTCGACGGCAGCGGCGAGGCAGTTTCAACGTGTTCTTGCCTTTTTTGTCTGAAATCGCCTTCTCCTCTCATGTTTTTTAAACCCTAATCGAGAAAAATAAAATAAAATGTGTTCGTGTGATGTGAAGTGTAAATCTCAGTCGCCACTACGTCCTCCGCCATCCTCCGCTACCATAACAGGCTCCTCCGCCGCGACCCCATCATCCACCTGAGCTGGAAGCAGATCAATACGTTTCGTCATACGAGGCTTGACCGGGATCAGGTTCTCGATCATTACCATGTTTCCTCAACTTTTTCACAGTAGATATAAAATATATGATTCTTTGTGAAATTAATCTCTTCAATAAATTGGAACACGACTATGCACGACACTGGACACGCCCGAGCCCGAGTTCAACGTCCTTCTCGGCGACTGGTACAAGAAGAGCCACGTCGAGCTCCAGAGAATGCTAGACTCTGGCCGAACCGTCGCCAGGCCCGACGGCGTCGTCATCAACGTGTAGGAGCAGGGTTTGGCGACAGAGGAGAAGGATGGAGATGTTATAATTTCTGTCAAGCAAAGGTAGTAAGTATTCTTACAATTCTTGATTTTCCACCAGAAACAAAAAATAACTTGAAAATCAAATTACCAGGCATGCTGGGAAGATTGTGTTCTCTTACTGCTGTCGAAGTTAATTTTTTTGGAGGTCGATGTAAAACGATGATGGGTTTGATGGTGGCGTCGAGGTGATCTCTATTTTGATCATTAATTTTCTATTCATGAACTAGCTCGAGGAAAAAACAGTTTGCCTTAGCACGATGAAACCATTTGTAAAAACATCTACATCATGAAGGCCCGCCCTTGCAAGGTACTTTTTTCTTTTTTTGAGATTTTTGTTTGATTTTGTCTGCGATAATTGTTGTTTCTTATTTACATTATGTATTTTAGAGAGCCCATAATTTTAGAAATCAGACTTGCATGTTGTATTTGGGTTTTAATTTGGGGATCTGTTGCTCGACCATTTGTTTTTGTTTAACATGGATAAAGAGTGCAAATTGAACTGATTGGGGATTGACAGTTGTTGTTTTTGGTCTGGGAACTGTAGGCCTTTCTGTGAGTTAAGGCTTTGTGCCAGACTTATCGAGATTTACATTTTACAATCGCTAACTTCCACATATCAAGAGTGCCTGAAATTTGCTCTTCGTGTTTGTCTAGGTTGCACAAGGTGCTAAACTGAGGGGGTCGTCCCGAATAATTGGTGTCGACACAAATCCTGAGAAGAGTGTAAAAGGTAATGGAATTTTATGGTTGTGATATTCACAAGTAACATTACATGTAATGCCATAGAAGATCTTCTGAGGACTGTTGTTTTAATGTTCTGTTGATGATACAAAAATGGCTTTTGGAGTAACAGACTTTCTGAACCCAAATGATCACGACCAACCAATTCATCAGGTTTATTTTTCTCATTTAATGTAGGTGAAATCCATCAATTGAGTAGGTTTTCACACAAATTCCTGATCTTGTGCTTTTTAACTGTAAATCTAAGTTTTGCGTGTTTAAACCCCGTTTGCAGGTTATTAACCATATTACTGATGGAGGGGCAGACTATGCATTCAAATGTGTTGGAAATACTGGAATGGTTACTACTGCTTTATAGTCTTGCTACACTGTAAGAATTTATTCCCGTTGACTCGCATAATTCTTTGGAATCTTGACCAAAAACTAACTTGTGTGTCTCTTGTCTAATCAGGGATGGGGTTTGACGGTGACCCTTGGCGTGCCTAAAGAGAGGCCAGAGATAGCAGCTCACCATGGACTCTTTCTCACTGGAAGAACGCTAACAGGATCTCTCTTTGGTGGATGGAAGCCAAAATCCGATCTTCCTTCACTGGTCTATAAGTACCTAAAGAAGGTAAGTTCATAATTATAACCATGTAATTAATGATGACTAGTTGAACTCGGAGAGCTGATTGTATACATATTTTTCCTTTAAGAGGGCAATCAGTTGGATATCTATCTGATCAAGGAAACACTTGTGGGCCTCTGGCTGACCTTGTCATAATTTGTATCTGCAGGAAATTGAAATTGACGACTAATATAGAGAGGCCCCACGGCTCCGAACAGAACGACGGTCGTTCACCCCCACTGACAGGGAGACCCGTGAAAAAGTTCATGAAAAAGTTATGAGGTAATTTACAGCATAGTATCTTTACGTTTATGGCTGCTCTATGACACTAAAAGTTGTATTGAAATCTTGATAATTTTGGAGCTTTGAAAATTTAAGCACCAGTTGATTTTAAAAGAATTTAGGGGATTTTTGGGGGTTGTATTGACCATGAGAAATTGCTTTGAGTTTTTCTGTTCTGATAAGTGTTTTTCTGACCAGTGTTTCACTTGGGCATTTTCTTTACTCACCAGAGGCGACCAAATTCTGGTGGTTTCGTGGCTACAACGATGACAGCAGAGACTTCACTGAAAGGTATGCGCTTGTTTTTATTTTCTTTGTCTTTTCCGAAGTTTTCTTTCTTATTTTCGGTTTCAACTGGCCGCATCTTGGTCATGATTATGGATGTTTCCAGTTACAGATGCTGCCGGAGCCTTATATTCTATATAGAGGTGAAAAAAACCAAGAGTTTTCTTAGGTAAGTGTTCTTTAATAAAAAAAAAATGAAGAATTGATTAATTCTAAGTCAACATGAATTTATCGACTTTGAAATGATTTTTTTTTTTTTTTTTTTTTTTTTT